TTTTTTTTTTTTTTTTTTTTTTAATTCAACCCATAATGTGGGATAGATGTAGGTAAGCCTGGGCACATGTGCCAGAGCATGGCACAGAAAGGTATTTTGCTTGGCATGCATGCCTTGGAAGGGGTGAGGCTGCACTGCCATGACAAGGATCAGACCCCTCATAGTTTCCCCACCATCCACCCTTGTCAAGTCAACATCTTAAAAGGCAAGGTTGCGGGTGTTTTTGGCACTCTGCCCAAAAATGTTTCTGACCCCTGGGATAGAAACACTGCAGGAGTCCTGGCCAACATGCATTCAGGTTCTCTGCCAGGAAAATGGTGATTCTCCTAGTAACCCCAAAGTGTACAGACATTCAATCTTTTTCTTTCAGTGCAAAAATGGCTGCTTCAGGAGAAAAATAAATCAGGAACAAACAAATTTAAATTGTTCCTGGGAGTTTCTCCCGGGAGACTGAATGTCTGCACTCCTTCTCCAGGCTCAACCTCTCCTGGGGAGCAAGAGGAGTAGAACCAGGGGAAAGGCTCTCCTGTCTTCCTGAGACTGGGGTCACCTTGATCTAAAGGAAGTGTGGGGGGTAGCTGCTCCCCACAATTCCTCCCAGCTTCCCCCTGCCTCTTTCGCCATTCCCCTACCTGCTACTCAGCTGAGCACCAGGGGTGGTGGTTGAAAAACTAGCGCAGCCAGGAGCTGGGCTTATAAGCCTGGCTCTTGACCATGCTGGCTTCTCTTTGCCTGTCCCTGCTCCTTTTTTCAGTAGTAGTTTAAATGTCAGAGGAGGCAGGAGCCCGTCTTGGGAAAAGCCTCTGTATGTCCAACTTTTGACCATGTTGGCTTTTCAGTATCTGTCCCCCACCACTCAGCTGGTCCAGAGTAATGTGGGGCAAGACAGGTTGCTGTGCTGCTGCAGCAAAAAGCCCCTTCCTGACCTCACACTGCTGATCAGCCGAGAGCAATACAGGGTGAGGCAGGGTGCTGTGTCCCTGCAGTAAGCTCCAAGGCACTCGCTTCTTGCAGCAGCAACTCAGTGTTCCCCCCCTCCTGCATTCCTGCAGGTCAGCCAGGAAGAGCTCAAGGAGCTGGCCTATTCTTCTGTTGGAGATAACTGTTAGGGTTCCAACCCCAGAGGAATGCCCCCTTCCTGCCAATCTAGCTGATTGATAGGATGGGGTGGGGATACTCTTCCAGGGGTAGGAACCCTCCCCAGCTGTCTGTGGCAGCTGCTGCTTTTCTGCAGCTGCCAATTGCCATTTGACAGTCTGCCTCTTTTTCCAGGCAGGAGAGAAGGCATGCTATACATTTATGAGTTCCTCTAAGGATGGGGGTGGTGGAGGAAGCAGCCCTCTAGTGCCCCTTGACTGGAGAGCTTGCCTGTGAAGCTCTCCAGTCATAGGATTGGAGGAACGTTTGTACAGTCCATCTCTCGGGTTCTTCCAATAGAAATGAAGGTCTGAATGCAGCCACTGAGCCATCTAAATTTCCCTGTAGTATTTGATATGGTCAGTGTCAAAGCAATTAATATGGTCAGTCTTAATTAGGGTAATTTATTGGGGCAGTTTCTGCCTGCCTCAAAGGACCTGACTGATTCCCCTCAAACATGCATAGACTTAGTTTTGACACCTTCTCCCTCACGTGTTAAGTCCCTGAGGGATCAGTGTTGCCCTAATCTTCAGTGTAAATTTGAAGACTTGTGAAGTTTTTGAATCAAGGCAAATAATCTTGTCCAGTTTATCATAACCTTTGTATCAGACTTAAACTGCACAAAGGAGAGGGAGTGTTTGAGGTTAGGGCACTAGTTTGGAGTTTAAAAAAAAAAGTTCAGTTTCTGGCTAAGCCAAAAACTTCTTGACTTTAGGCAAGTCTTTTTGCATGTAGTTGTCCTTGTTCCAGTTCCATGCTCTACTCTCACAGGAGTTCCTATAATCTCACTGAAGAATGTTAAAAAGGGTGTATCCTCCCATTAAACAACACTTGTTTTAATTAAAAATAAAGTCTCATGTTAGCTATTGTCTTTCAGGAAGATGTTGTTTTAGATGCGAGGAGTTAGATCCCTGGGCAGTCTCTTGCTTGTTCTACACCTACAGTATCATAAATAGATTCATTTCCATCACTACCAGCCAGGAATGCTAACATTTTAGGCAATAGCCTTAATAAAGAAGTTTGGGTTTAAGTCCTCCTTCACCTTGGGCAAAGACCAAGTAAAGACAGTTCTATTTACAAAATCAAGACCTCTTGAAAAATCATGTTAGGCTTTCAGAACTCATTTAAATTGCTCACTATATTGTAATAGTTATCAGAAGAGTAAGATAAATCCAGATGTTGACTACACATTTCCCTTCCTGTTCATTCCTTAAAGTGGCCGCAACATGCCTGTTGTGTGTAAAACGCGTGAAAACCAGTGATTCTGAACTCTTTTGGACTCAACACCCCCTTATTGCACTCAAGGCATCCTTCCATAACTGTTGTGAACCGAGTGGCACCCAGTTTCAAAAACAAATTTATATATTACATTGCTTACCTCCTCCTGGAGGGGCTGGCATTAGGAATGAGAGATTGGCCAGGCAGAAACAAGTATGAGCCTACACTTATCTTCTTATATCCCCACACTTTGTGGCACCCTTCAAAAGAATTGGTGCCACCCTTGGCTGCTGCAGCACCCTTGTTGAGAATCACTACATTAGACAATTGGAGAATATGTCTGTTTTCCCAAAATTCTGCCTCCAAAAAAAGAGATTCTATAAATAACCACACTACAGTGTAAGAATACGGCTGGGTGCCCGGGTGGCTCCCGCATACAGGGGCAGCAGTGAGTTTCTGCTGCTGCCACAATCGCAATCATGCACCTGTGGCAAAAGCCAGTTTTTTCACTCCGCATTCCCATTGGCACCTGAGGTAGTTGCTTGTATCTCCCTGCCCAAGTTATGCCACTGTAAGTGCATCCAATACTGAGTCAATATTTCTTCTGTTCTTCCTGTTCCTTTATATTGGTTGTTTGAAGGTATTTCTCTTTTAAGACTAAGTCTTCAGCAGACTTTAGAGTAAAGTTGTCTCTTAAGTAGTTTAACTAGGCTTCTTGACTCCATTCAAGATTGGCGGTGTTCATCCAGCAATAGCAGTTATACAAAATGTAGACTTTTTAACATCCACAGCACTGTAAAAAGTCTTTTTGTATATCTATCACATACCCTATCAAAAGTTCCCAAAGCTCAGGATTCAATAGTAGTAGGTCATCTTTCTTTTGTTTCACCATGCCTAAGAATATTCACGGGTATTCTAACTATAGTTGTTAGCACTTTTTTTACTAAGAGGAGGTACATTCTGCAGTTGAGACATTTGGCCAGGAAAGCCAGATCTCAGTTTGAACGTTATGATTCAAAAAATGTTTCACTCCTGGTGTTGCTGTACATCTCAGGAACTATTGTGAGCTTGCTTTGATATTTACTGGGGCAACATGCATTTGG